AATTTAACACTTTTAGTGCCGGACAGCAATATATCGGCATTTTACAAGTGCTAATTACTTTGGCCGGCACTAAAGGGTTATGTTCGAGTAATCTAACCGAAACTATTGCGATAATTTAATAATTCATAGAGGATTTGGGAGGGGTTTAAGGTGACACGAAAGTGGCGTCGGGGAGGTCTCGTTTATGTAACTTTTCTCCGGACAGGGTGTACAGAATCGTTTAAAACTTTACAATGTGAATATAGAGGCTGTAAGGAAGGTCCCGATACCCATGAAATTTCAATTTTAAGAAAATTTGTATATATATATAATTATTTTAAAATTAGTTGTATAAAAAATGTATTTTCATGAGTGTCGGGACCTTCCTTACATCCTCCACGTTCACGTTGTAAAGTTTGAAATAATTAACCACAAGCATTTCTGAGAAAAGTTTCATGAACTTCATATCGTGGACTTCGTCATGGACCTTTTCATGAAGTGCAGATGCCTCTTTCGCATCCCCTTAAAACCAATTAATTAATTTAATGCTACATGCTGACCTCGAAGAGCTCCCTCGTCGCGTTCACCTCGTTCCGGATGGCCAGTCGCCAGACGCGCCCGCGCACGCTTGGAGGTAGACCCCGGGCCCAGAGTTCGCGCACGCGCCGTGTGTCGCGCAGCTGCTCGAAGCGGGGCAGGATCTCGCGGACCCACAGTCGCGCGTCGGCCGTCAGCCGCTCCTCCTCGCGGAGGCGGCGCTCCTCCTGCGCGCGACGCTCCCGCTCTTCGCGTTGCGCGCGCACCCGCGCGGCCGAGAGCATCGCGCGGTACTGCGAGCGGTGGCGCGCTTCCTCCAGTGCGCTCTTCGCCGGCAAACCTGCCGGACGTCCTTGCTCGATCAGGCCGGTGCCACCCCACCCCACGTGCTCCCTCATGCGCTCGCTTTGCGGCGGCATCAGCGATTAGAACTGAGATATTCGAAATTAAACACTAAATACACATATGATGGGCTGTAACGATGTTCAGACTATGATTGTAGTTGATAACTTGGTGGGCTTCCTTACGTCGTTCTAGGTTATGGCTTTTGAGGTGTTTAAACGTTGAGATTGATGCAGTATCAGTGATTAGAACGCAAAATATGGAGAGTAGATTCTGAAGTCGTTGTTTAGATTATATTCAGTTGTCGTCGATGCCTTGAGGAACGTTCTTTATGCCCTGTTCTAGGTTATGGCTTTGAAGAGTTCTTTTAAAGTGGGAATGAATGCGCATCGGCAGTTAAAACTTGTTCCGATTGTATGTTCGGTCACTTTCGATGTCTCGAAGAATGTTCATTATATCCAGGTTTAGGTTGTCTTTTCGGAGGGAATCCTTGAACAGTAGAGATGGATGGGTTTCGGCAATTAAAACAATGCCAATGGAAACTGGGTCCTGAATTCATAAATGTTTAGACTGTATGTTCAGTTGCAATCGACGTCTTGAAGAGCGTTCCTTATATTCAGTTTTAGATCGTCTCTTCAGAGTCCTTTAAAAGTGGAAATGATTCTTTATGCACCAGATCATATTTCTTCTCCCAGCTGCTCGGAGCCAGTTTTTTTATAAGCGCTGGAGTTTCAAGCGTCGGCTTGTCTCTTCAACGAGAATCCTTTTAAAATGGAAATGGAAGGTCATGCACCAAGTTGTATTTTTGCTTCTAGTCGCTGCCTTGAAGAACATTCCTTGCAATATAAAAAGGGACTTCGAGCACCACGCTGCACCTTTAGAAAGGACTTCTCGGAATTAGATGTGTCATTTAGAACACTACAGTTCCTTCTCCCCTCTACACTTTTTATCGTTCCTCTAGATAGAAAGCCTCAAACCTAAACAGAAACTTTGAGCTCCATACTATATCTTCGCACCTTATGCTCCAGGAGAGGAATCTTGTAAGTTAACGTGGAATCGTAAGCACCGCATATCTTCACTTTAGAAACGATCTGTTGTCGCTATAGCTCGTATATCCATGGACGATGCCTTTTAACTAGATAAGATTCCGTTAGCATATTTTACTATATTTTATTTACCTATTCAGTCGTTTAAATATCACCTTGTATATCACTTCTTTGCAACGATATCTTCACCAGTTCATTCTTTACAAAATTTAAGGGTCTCACAAAGTATTCCAAGATGAGTAAGCAGCACCGTAAGTGGAAAAGGAATGTAGAGAATCCCGTTGCACCTGGACTCGGGTTTGCTGTCTCGGAGAATCACTCAGAAGTGGAAGTGGAACCTCGGCACCTCATCGTACCTCTCCTTCCTGCTAGTATCGTAGAGAGGAACCCTCATCGTTCCGACAGTGGAATTCCATCGTCCTGAATGGCTTAATTATCGCGGTATATATTCGCAGATGATTCTTTAAGGCTTTTAAACTTATCTTCTCAACTAGCGACCTGGCGGAGATTTTCTTTTGAGCTCGCTTCTTGCGAAAAAGGTGAACAAGTCGCGAGAAAGTCTTTGGGCGGAAGCCCTTGTCATGTCAGTCAACTACAACCAGTTACAACTGTTTCCAACATTCCAACTGGCCAGGGTCATCGGGTTTACGCCGAGACACGCGGCACCGTTCACGTGGAGAGGTTAGGAACGAGATTAGGGATGTAAAGTGGAACTCGCGGGGCTGAAAACGGCTATAAATTGGGGACCCCATGAAGGCGTGGTTCCACTTTTAAATAAACACACTTGCATATCACCCATATACGTGTTATTATTTACAATGAGCTTGGAAATGTTGAAATGATCGCGTTTTTTTTTTATATAAGAAAATGGGTAAGGTTAAACGTCTTTCGTATGTATTTCAGGATGTGATCATCGTGTAAAATTTCTGATGGAATTTGCGTCTCCACCGTACTCGGTTTACAAGTGAAACTAAGTATAAACAAGTCGTCCGAAGTTTAACGATTTAAGGCAGGTTTAAACCGGACTTAAACTTCCTGTAAATTGTTTAATCTCTGGTTAACTGGAATTGTGGATACCGGAGTTTAATGATAAATGTCACAGGTCCGGTTCCACAACTTGAGTTAACTGGAATTTAATCGGTCTATAGCGGATTAAACCCGGATATAAATTAGTTAAACTTCGGTTAAGGCCTGGTTCCACAATTAAAGTTAACCGAAGTTTAACAGACCTGCTGGAAATCAGTTAAACTTCGGTTAACTAGAATTATGGAACCCAGCCACGGAATCACGGGACGTGCTCACTTTTACCATTTTCACCAGATTCTAGTTACAGAAGCGCCCTCTTGATTGACTACCGCTGTCGACGAACTATCTGGACAAGAATTGTATTATCACTAGTGTAATCAGTGCAACCAACCGATGAATGAACAGACGAAGGCTATCTTCTCTAGTTTTATTTAAGACGTAAACCCTGCTACGAAATTTCGCGCTTTGACAGTCCGCGATACTGGCTAACCCCAAACGGGGTTAACACTGTGCTATTAAGCGTTATAATTTTTGACACGGTGTTAAACAATTGTTTGTTAAAAATGGAGTGCATTGTTGCAAGCGTAGGACACATACGATTTGATATAGAAACCGCGCTGGACGAGCAGTATGGAGCGTTACCTCTGCCTTTTACCGGAATGGATAGTTAGTACATGTTATTTCCCTCTTATAGGTTATGTGGAGGATTACATGTTGCTTTAGTTTACGTTACACATTACTTGATTTTAGAATCGGTCGCTGCAGTTTGCCAGTTTTACCCACGAGGAACTTGCGTCAAAGGAGGTTCCTGCCCTTTCCGACACGTTCGAGGGGACAGAACGATTGTTTGTAAACATTGGCTACGAGGCCTCTGTAAAAAGGGCGATCAGTGTGAATTTTTACACGAGTATGACATGACTAAGATGCCCGAGTGTTACTTTTATTCCAGATTCAGTAAGTACACTTCATCGAGACTTAACGTTCCTTTACCGCCGTGATTATATTCAAATTATCTTCCCATTGAACGACGGATAGATTGAAAATTTAGAAACCGTAATCAAGGGAATGTCCACTGTCTTCGGAGTCACATGCTTTCAGCTCCGCACTGTTTAACCTTTCCTTTCTTTGTACTTCAGACGCTTGCCATAATAAAGAGTGTCCGTTCCTGCACATCGATCCCGAAACAAAGGTTCGAGACTGCCCGTGGTACGACCGGGGCTTTTGCAGGCACGGTCCTCTCTGTCGTCATCGCCACGTAAGACGAGTGCTATGTATGGCGTATCTCGCAGGGTTTTGCCCGGATGGCCCGAGTTGCAAGTTCATGCAGTAAGAATCGACGAATGGTTCCGATGACTGATGAAATTCTCTCGTCGTGCCTCTCACCCCCTTCGCTTTGAGTTTTCCAGGTAAAAGAGAGCTAAACTCTTGAATTTTACAGCCCCAGGTTCGAGCTCCCCGCCATACAGGATATGCAACCTAAGGAAGGAAAGAAAATCATGATCACGTGTCACTTCTGCGGAGAGGGTGGACACAAAGCGATATACTGTAACAAAATGCCACCGGACGTCAGGGAAGCGCAGGTCAGGCAAGAGATGGAGGGAGGTGGATCGCACGGAGCGCATCATCATATGAATTCTCACAATGGACTACCATCAAGAGGACCGCAGAAGCCGTTAGAAGAGGTTACGTGTTACAAGTGCGGTGCGAAGGGACACTACGCCAACAAATGCCCAAAGGGCCACCTTGCGTTTCTTAGTCACGCAGGGGGTGGAGGTGGAGGAGGAGGAGGCAGTGGACTCGGTCAGAACTCCAATTACAGGCGATGAGTGTGACGTGTGTCATAAAACTGTGAAGTAGCATGAGGAGTGAGTACTTCCATGTAAAGGTAACCTTAATTTCATTGCGAAGCAAAGTAAAAACCACTGAAATATATAGTAAACTGGAACGCTTGCCATGGTTAATTTTTTAACTAACGGCAGTGTCTGTGGACCCATAATAACTATATGAATATCTTGGCTGCAAAGTGCCGATATTTTATATGAATGCAATGTTTATCTATTGCTTTAAAGGCATGGGAATGCATTCGTAACAAAATAGTTAAGGTATCAAGGTACCGACCACTCATCAAATACCATTCAATTACGTTTTTCCGCAGTTTATTATATTATAGTATATTATATTTGAAAGTTATTATGTCTCCGAACTAAATGTCGTTCTTCCTTACCTACGTTGTGTAGGGTTTTCACGCGTGAATGATACGTAAAAAACGAGTTCACAGATTTGACCTATTTTTTCAACTCAGATTTGTCTGGAAATAGTTCAATGATTTATTACTCTTTTAATGGAAGTTTGATCATTTCAAGTGTGAGCAGACTCCAGATCGTAGCTCCTTATGTTACTTCGTGCATAAAGCGAGGCTCGAAAAGGTGGAGACCACACTCCATATTTCTCTATCGCACTCGACAGTGAAATGAAATCTATCACATTCGACAGTGAAATAAAATTGATCACACTTGACACTGAAATATAAAATCTACGACACTCGACAGTGAAATAAAGTCCCAATCGTTAATAATTGGCAGCCGATCATTTTATTATTTTGGTCCTCAACGGTTACGAGGGACCGTCATGAAGTACAACCAGACCCTTTATAAAATGGATGAAAAGAGTTACGAATCGCAGTTGGTCTCAAGAGCCTCGTTCGAGACTGACATTAATCGACCACTGACGCAGTTAACCTAACCTCTAAACGCAGTTAACCTATTAGCGCCGGGACCCCCTTTACAGATTAAATGTAACAAATTATCTCACAATATATTCTATACACGAATAAATATAACAACAAATGTATGTATATGAATATGTGTGTGTGTGTGTGTCGTGTAGTGTATTCTATTTCACGTCCCACGAAATCTCGTGCACTGACAGGCGCTAATCGGTTAAATGAAATGTCCAGAGATGACAAGTCTCGTTAATGACATACTTCGTACTGAAACATTCCTTTATTCTGTGAGCAGTGATGAATACGTTTACCGGTTTATGATTTCCCTCCGAAGCCTCCCACCAGATTGCCCAGGCCTCCCGCTGCGCCTTGTTGTATTTGTTTCATCATGTTCTGCAGACCCGACATGCCCCCTGTGTCAAAAGTTCGTCTTTAGTTTCACAGCTTGACAGCTTGACAGTTTTAAGGTGTAGTGAAACCCCACGCCAATGTAATCGACTCGAGGGGATTCCTGGGGATTTCTTTATAATTATTGTAAGGAAACGATATATGCAGTATGCCATTCAGTAGGATATCCAATTCGACACAACTGTTGATATAAATACAAACGTCGTAGGTATTAGAAGAATCTTTTTTAACAATGTCGATCAAATTTCTTGACGTATCACTTCACCTTAACAATGTCATTGAATAGAACCACTGCGAAAAATTATTGAAAAACTTTAACATACCCATTTGGTGCAGAACTCTAGGGTCCATGATCTTGGCCATTTCTAGGTTAAGTTTAGCCATTTGCATGTGATTAACATTCTTCGCCATGTCACCACCTTTGAAGAGTCCCTTAATGCCTCCCATCTTCTTAACCACAGCGGCGAATTTCGTGTATTGAGCTATCAGGTCCTTCACTTCCTTCTCCGTCACTCCGGAGCCTCGAGCCACTCTGACGATCCTTCCTGGCTGTTTGCTGAACAATTTCGCTCCATCCCTGCTGTCCAGTTCTGTCAAAATATTCGTTCAAGGAACAATTTAAAACTGGCAGAGAGGTTAAGGTAGAAAGGATGACATACCTCCATCGTTCATACTATCCATGATTGCCATTAGACGTCTTAATCTGGACATCGATTCCTGCTCCGTCCCCTTTGTCATGAAGTCTTGACTGAATCCGGGAATCATCCCCTAAAAAAAAACGCATGTATTAACTAAAATATGAACAAATTAACCTAATTCTTCATCGGAAGCCAAGCATGTTATTTCTTTTTATCGGAGGCCAAACATGTTATTTCTTTTTATCGGAGGCCAAACATGTTATTTCTTTTTATCGGAGGCCAAACATGTTTTTTTTTAAATCAGGGGCCAAACATCACCTTAAGATAAAATGTTCAATTACCATGATCTGTGAAAAAGGTCCCATTTTCATGATATTCTGGAATTGCTCGTACATGTCACGTAACGTGAAATGACCGTGTTTAATTTTCTCCAGTAGTTCCTCGTTCTCGTCCAAGTGGAGTTCATTGACTTTGTCGATTAAGCCCTCGATGTCTCCCATTCCCAAAAGTTTGCTAATAAATGGCTTCGTTTTGAAAGGCTCGAGGTCGTCTATGTGTTCTCCGGTACCCATGAAGATGATAGGACTCTGTGTAGCAGCGACACTGTTTAAAGAAGAACATTAATTCGGCCCAGAATGAAGAATCTTTTTTTACCAATGTCAATTAAATTTATCGTTTTTCGTATAACCTCGAAGCATGTTTGTAAGCATCGATAAAGGTTCGAAGAACTTACGCAGAAAGTGCTCCGCCACCTTTCGCATGTCCATCCAGTTTAGTGATGATGACCGACCCAATGTTGACACGCTCCTTGAATGCTCTCGCTTGACTTTCGCAAGCCTGACCTATTGTGGCATCCATTACGAAAATGATATTGTCTGGTTTCTGAAATGAAGAACCTTATTATCTTTCTGATTTTTTTTACACAAACGATTTATGATCTTTTAAAAGAAATCAGGATTTTAACAATCCTAAGTTAGGACAATTTAACACGGCTTTGAAATTAAGTACGTCGTTATAAATCTTTCATTTACCACTGCGACGGAGACTTGCAACATTTCTTCAAACAGCGATTCTTCTTGTTTATGCCTGCCACTCGTGTCCACGATAATAATTTCGTACCCCTCGTTCTTGAACATCTCCACTCCGTCTTGAGCTATCACCACGGGATCCACTTCTGTATAACTGAGAGTACGCATTTGTATTAGATTCGCATTAAATAAACGAATCGAGTCAATGATCACGAGACAAATTTACCTTCCATAAAACGGTATTCTAGCTTTCGTTGCATTCTGTTTGATTTGATCGTAAGCACCGGCACGGAACGTGTCGGCGCACACCAAACAAGACTTCCAGTTCTTCTTGAGATAGTAATAGGCAAGCTTGGTACACGTCGTTGTTTTCCCGGAGCCTTGTAAACCTACAAACATAATTACATTTGGCCGACCCTTCACCGGTTGGTACGCTTTGACTCCAGGATCGACCAACTGTGAACGAATCACAAAATTAGGCAAAGATCGTCGCATCGACGCTATGTCCGGAAACTAACGAACACTAACTTTTACTAGTTCCTTGAAGACGGCACTTTGAATCATCCTCCGTTTGTTGAGTCCTCCCGCCATGTCCTCGAAATCGATGACCGACCGGACGCTCTCTCGTAAGTTCTTCACCAGCCGAATATTTACATCTGCTTCGAGTAACGCCGCACATATTTCCTTAAGCATAGAGTTCAACACCTGCGGAAGTCACAAACATTATTAGCAAAACCACTCGATAGAGTTTCTTAGGAATGTTCTCTGATGCGAAGACATGTCGCATGACTTCCTGTGACATGCACCGATGATAAAGTGTTAGAGAGAGACGAGATTAGAAATATACTGCAGGTAGAAAAGAGATCCAGATGTCTGGAAAAGCTTTACCTCTTCGTTAATAACTGTAGCATTGCTCAAGGATCGCAGGGCGGAGGTGATCTTCCGCCCTAAGTCGGCTAAAACCATCTTTACGAGTAAATGTCAAACCTTATTCTTGACAGTCCCTAACCTATATCTCCTACGCTAGAACCCGTCCTAATAACAAACATGTGAGCACGTCAAATTCCACGTCTTACTCGTGAACGCTCGACGTTAACAGTTTACACCGTAACTTGTGTCAGCTGTGTTAATTTCCTGGAACAGAGCGATCGCGGATCACGAGTTCATATGTAGATGGATGCTCGTTGTCCCGGGCAGGCTTGCCAGTCGGGAAGAAATTATATCACCAGAAATGATACAACAAATCACCAGAAATCACTAAATAGAAACGGAGAGAATTTTAAATGCATTCAATTAAAAGCTAAAGAGAACGTAGATATAGAATTAAATGTATTCTTATATTAAAACTATAATGTTATGTCTCTTTTGCATTAATATGGCCCGGGTCTACAACTCGAGTTAACCAGAGTTTAATTGGTGTATACCAGGTTTAAGGTCTGATTGCATAACTCTAGTTAACCGAAGTTTAGGTGGGTTGTACTTAGATTAAACCTGCTGTAAACCGATTAAATTAAAGTTAAATTGAAATGTGGAGCCGGGACTAAACCTGCTGTAAATCAATGAAATTCTGGTTAACTCGAGTATAGAACTGGTCTTCGAAATTCGATTAACTCGAGTTGTGGAACTGGGCGTAAGTCTCCATCATCGGGATTTATTTAAACCTGGATTGGATAATCCGATTTTAGGTATGTTTTATTATTTGTTTAAATTGACACAATTTAAATTAATCGAGGTTTAACTGGTTTACACCCGATTAAACCTACTTTACTCCAGTTAACCGAAGTTTAACTGGCTTATACTTGGTTTAAACCTGCTGTTTTTTAATTAATTAATTAAAAATTAAACTCCGGTTATCGAGAATTATGGAACCGGATTTAAAATAATCGTATAGAAAAACAAAAACCATCTGTAGCGGGCTTAAGTACGAAGTTATCACACACTAATTACGTCTCTATCGTACTCAAAATCCGGGATTTATCAAGTCTAAACCCAGTAAATCCGAATTTAAGTGTCGATCGAGACGCTCAAGATCGAATCTGCGTATTTGTTAATCCGATGGAAACATGCGATTTACTGGATCTAGACGCCATAAATCCCGAATTTAAGAGTACGATGGAGATGTGATCACTAGGATGAAACTTTTGGCGAATTCGGATACGGGAAAGTCTGAAGAAATTGGCCGCCGTGTCTTGTAACCTATTATCGCTACGCCGAGATAAGACGAAGACGTTGAGTGACGACAGGCAGTCCAAATATTGCGTGGCAGTGTTGAGGTTATGTGACGCATCGTTTTAACGAGTCCTGACTACGGACTGCAGGAAAAAGAAGGTAATAGCATTTTTCTAATGTTTTTGAACGATAAGGGACCATTTTGTGAGATGTTATCGGGAAATTAAGTGTTAATGACCACGTGTCGATATAAAAATAGCCATATGTTCACAAAAATTATGGAAATCTTCCTTTAAAATTCAGATTCGTTCTCTAACGTCTAACGATAGCTTTTATTGCCAGTCAACTGAAACTGCACTCTAGCGATGCAACTTATTCAATAATCTTTCACAGCGATAAACAGTTTAAGTGTATTAATAAATATTTTTATGGCTGTTGGTACTTTAACGAGTTCCACAAGTCTGTTAAATACAAAACGACAAACTTATAGAGCATGAATAAGCATCGAAGAAGAATCTCTTCTCTCGTCTGTCTTAATTTAACAATAACTTCTGTCATTGCAAGTTAGAAAATAAACCTACAGGTTATATTAGACTTAACCTAAAAGTATGCCGATTTGGTGCGCACAGATCAGGGCTTGATTACGTCTGAAAGGTGGCTACACAACAAAAAATCTATAAAATACACATTTTGACGAATCATTGCAATCTTGACTGTACAAACTTAACTGTACAAGAACTAGAATTGCTATAGTTTATCGCCATGTGTGTAGCCACTATGGAACTAGTCTTCGGAAACATTTCTTAATTTTATATCATTGCTTGAGACTGTCTCCTACCGCATTAACATTATTATTGTGTAATAATCTCAATGAAAGCACAGAACGATCAGTCGATCTCCAGTACTTTCCTGGAAAAGGAAACGGAAGCGTTTAAAGTTGCATGCCTAATTTGCATCGAGATAAAGAGAGTTCGGTGAGGGTGAGGCAGGATGGCGAGAGGCGACGAGTGTAACGCATCGAGACTGACAAGATGGTATCATCCGACAGCTGTTAACTCCAGATGCTTGCGAGTGGTTCACGCTTCATCGTCCAGCTTCGTCGGTTCAGCATGGCACTGGTTCCCCCGAGCCACGTAAGAGGCATGAAGAAGCTGGACCGAGAAGCTTTCACCCAGGAGGTGGAAATCCCGTACCTCCGACTGCCGGCAAAGCGCTTCCAGGAGGTGAGAAGTGCCCTGAAGACGTACCTGCTAAAAGTTCGCCTCTTCAAACCGGTGCAGATCTGCGGAGAGCAACGGATGGTATACCTAGACCCTCGGAGAGTGAGCACGCCGGAAGACATCCCGGAAGATGAGCTTCGCATCGGTCTAAGCCGTACCCTGGTGAAGCTCACCTACGAGAACTGGCAACCCGGCGAGGTTCTACGTGCCGTGCTCCCAGAGGACCTGGAGGCACCAACATCCTACAGCCAAGTCGGCCACGTGCTGCACCTTAACCTTCGAGAAGCCCAACTTCCCTACAAGGAGCTCATCGGTCAGGTATATCTGGACAAGGTATCGCACTGCAGGACCGTTGTCAACAAGACTGCGAACATCGATGCGGAGTTCCGGAACTTCTCGATGGAGGTCTTGGCTGGGGATCTGGACACCGTTGTCGAGGCAAAGGAGAATGGCTGTGTTTATAGGTTAGACTTCTCCAGGGTGTACTGGAACCCGAGGCTAGGGACGGAACGTTGCCTGGTGACGAGTACCCTGGAACCCGGAGATGTTCTCTACGATGCTTTCGCTGGTGTGGGCCCTTTCGCCATACCAGCTGCTCGAAAGGGTGCTGTCGTCCTGGCCAATGACCTGAACCCGGACAGCTACCATTGGCTCCAACAGAACACAAAGATAAATAAGTTAAAGGGTGAAACAAAGCTCTTCTGCAAGGATGCGAGAGCCTTCCTCAAGGAGGACGTGGCCAAGCACCTAGTGGAACGGCGCCGATCAGGGGAAAAGGGCTGTGAGCACGTCGTCATGAACCTTCCGGAACGGGCCCTGGAATTCCTAGATGTTTTCCAGGATTGGCTCGGCCCCGAAGAGGTTAGGATGGTGTGCACACCCCTGGAGGTGGCGCCGATTGTGCATCTTTATTGTTTCGTTCGCCCTGGTCGTGATGGAGACCCAGGGGAAGTGGCTCTGAAGAAGGTGGAGGAGAGGTTAGGGTACGAGTTGAAACTCCCAGGACAGGTCCTGGAGGTGAGGTTCGTCAGGAATGTGGCTCCAGGGAAGGAGATGATGCGAGTGTCCTTCAGGGTTTGTCCGCCTGGGCTGAGTGAGGTGTCGAATGCGAATGGAGGGATAGAATTGGAGGTTAAGAGAGTAGGTGGTCAGGAAGCTAGAGAATCAAATGGCAACGAAGCTCGGGACACAGCTGATGAACCGATCCCCATATCTTCCGAGGACATAACCAAGAATGGAACCAATTCATCGGTCCATCGACCAACCGGTGACGTCAATGGTGAGTTAATCCACCAATCAGCCCACGAGATGAAGAGTGATGTTACTAATGTCTCAATTCTTCAATCGGATGGTGAAGTAAATAAAGATAAAGATCTTCGATCGGTTAACAAGAAGATTAGTGACGGTAAAGAACCAGTTCAATCATCATCAATTGGTAATGACGATGGTGAACTGATTCACCGAACAGCTGGGAAGACAAACGGTGGTGACATTTTCGAGTCAACTGATCAGTCAACTAGTGATCGATTCGAGGAGCCGACTAAGAAGAGAGCCAGGAAGGAGTCCACAGGCTGCGATAAGATTAACCCCGTAATCGTGAAATTCTCATAAAAGATGGAACGCCCTCGTCGACCTTTCGTCACAATAAGTTCCTCGCTCCTGCCCAACTGACCCGAGTGTCAACCAATAGTGACGGGCGAGATTTTGGAGAAAGGCCACCTTGCAATTTATTATCACATAGTGCGTTTACACCAGCTACCTTATGCCGGTTTTATAAATATCGATGTTAAAGTGACGTGAAAGTGGCGTCAATAACATCTCATTTGTGAAATATTTCTCCGAACTGAGTGTATCGAATCATTTCAAACTTTACAATGTGAATATAGTTTCATTAGAATATAGTGAGTATCGTTTTAAACAATGTGAACATAGAACCTGTAAGGAAGGTCCCTATACCCAGGAAATTTCTATTTTTCAAGTTTATAGATATTTAAATATTTTGTTTATGAAAAAAAAAAAAATAGAAATTTCATGGATGTCAGAACCTTCCTTATGACGTCTATTTTCATATTGTATGCTTGTCCTTCGATGGGTAGATGGCATCGTGGGTCTCAGGAACTTGCTCTGTAGTTTCCGATGCGGTGGCGCCGCCTACGTCGGCGTGGTCGAGCTCTGAACTAAAGCGAAACAAGAACAGATTTTCATCGTCCTGCATTACTTTTCGGACGAACCCTGAGGGTCTATTACGTAAAGCAAATTGAGGGAAAATGTGAAAAATAAGCTCACAGTATTACGGAACGTTTCTGGTGGTGAAAATGCAAGACCATTCATATGAATTGGCTCGGCAGAAATTTTTAAGCGAAATGGTGAAGCATAGACTCGAGTCCTCTTCTTTACTTTTAACGGCTTTTCATCTTCCCGCCTTTCCTGCCTATAACCCCCTACCTCTCAACAATTTTCAATTTACAAGGTATCTACCTTTATTTAACAATATCACTAGACCGGAAATGCTAGTGATCTCATTCTTTCATATAGCGAATACGTAATTCGGCGAATAAACCCACGCGAGACGAAAGTGCGAGAAGTGAGCGCTCTCGTCAAAAATACGTAATAAACGCCCTGTAATTGAACCGAAAGCGTAAGAAGAAAGTGTAACCAAATTGAGAGCGTCATAATCAGTAGGATCGGACTTCTTGGTGACGAGGAACGTGTACGTGCTGCCCGACTCGTCGGGGCGCTTCGAGGTGCCCGTGGACTCGGGGAACCCCAGACTGGAGGCGACAACCCCGTCGACCCTGGAGCTGCTGGAGCTGCCGCTGCCCGAGGCGGCGATGGCGCGCGAGCTGGCAACCCTGGCAGCGCGCTGGCGCGGCATCGTCGCGGTCGACAGTCACCCGCAGTCGGGGCCGGACCACCGGACGAGGGTGACGCTGGAGGGTCCCGAGGACTCGACGCGCGCGGCTAAGCGCGAGGCCCTGGAGCTGCTCGCCGAGGCTCGGCGACGCCGCTTCCTGGACCGTCCCGCCTTCGGCCTGGACGACGCCAGGGCCGTCGTCGCCTATGCCGAGGGCCGCCCTCGCGTCGCCGAGTCCTTGGACGTTGTGCGCAGGTGCTACGATAGGTGAGTGTGCAGGGTTGAGTAAGTAAAAAGGCGCAGGGCGCGTTTCTCGCATCGCTACGAGTTTCTTGATACACTTTTTTTTTTTATAAAAAATGCCTAACACACACCCACGCCCTCCGGAAAGGGGGTGAAGGTAGTGTGAGGCTTGCACTCACTAAAAACTCCTCGGTGGCCGTCCTCGGTGTGTCGTAGGGAACCATAGTCTCGGGTTTTCTGCAACCTGGAAGTAAAATACCCGAGCTAGGAGTTTCTCGCTCAAGAATGTATTTGGCTCGAAACTCTACCGAGTTTCTTGATACTCTTTTTTTATAAAAAAATGCCTAACACACACCCATGCCCTCCGGGAAGGGGGTGGAGGAAGTGTGGGGCTTGCATCCACTAAAAACTCCTCGGTGGCCGTCCTCGGTGTGTCGTAGGGAACCATGGTCTCGGGTTTCCTGCAACCTGGAAGTAAAATACCCTACTTCCTTAAAGTATTTTACGTAAAGAAACCTCGGATGATGCGTCACTGTACAACCTTGCTTCCAGGTACCCTGCGGATCAGGTGTTCTTAAGCTTTAACGGCGGCAAAGACTGCACCGCAGTGTTGCACCTGGTGGCTTCCGTGTGTAAGGTTAGGAACCTCTCCAAACTGCTCTGCTTATACGTCGAAGAGGATACGTTTCCGGAGGTAATTCCGCCAATTTTTCTGTGGCTTGGTTTACACCGATCAGTTGATAGGCGCACTAAAGGGGTGGCTTATTAAATTATTCTTTTTATTTATCTTAGATTCAAGGATATTTGTTTTAAATTAGATTTTATGAACCTTAAGCTGATAGGAAAGGGTCATTCGATACATATAAAACGTCAAAATATTTATAGAACCTGTCTCCTAACTGGATGCACCGAACAAGGAAGTATGTGGTGCTTATAAAATTTCATTTTTGATAATCAATTTTTTTTTATTTAGCCCAAATTAGAACCAAGAACATTTTTTCTTTTTTTATGAAATTTGATGAGCACTATGTTCTTCCTTAGGGTCTCTAATTACGTGTTGGAGTTTCAATTGATTCGACGCATTCAGTTGGAGAAGTTTTATATGTATAAAATGAGCTTTTTATATCGCTTTAAAATTCTCCATTTTTCGTTACGAACCTTGGAAATTTTCCTCAGGTTGACGAGTTCGTCGAGCAGGCGGAGCGATATTACGGGCTCGACATCGTGAGGAAGAGAGGTCCAATAAAGGCAGCTCTTCGGTCACTTTTAGAGGAAAAGGAAGGCCTTAAGGCTGGCATCATGGGAACTCGCAGGAACGACCCTGGCGCCGCCAACGTGGACGCCTTCACCATGACCGACCCTGGCTGGCCGGCCATTATGCGCGTTTTTCCCATCCTGGACTGGTCTTATGCCGACGTTTGGAGTTTTCTGTTGACCAACGACGTGCCTTATTGCTCCTTGTACGACAAGGGCTACAGTAGCCTCGGCACGAAAGTGAATACCAAACCTAATCCTCTGTTGGTCCTCGATGAAGAGGATTCGGTTTATCTACCTGCTTTCCTATTGTCCGAAGACTCTGCGGAGAGACAAGGCAGACGGTGACGAAGTGTTAGCGCTTTAATAGTTTAATTCATGTCTTCGATGCCCAGGATGCCCATCGTAGCCTTCTAGAGACTGTGTCGAGGACTTTATTTTACTTCGGTGTAGGTACATTTCTGCATCTGTTAGCAGATCTGGAGTGTCGAGTGCAGTTTGATTAGTAAATGTTTTGTTACCTGGGATTAGTGTTGCCTTGTGAAGATTGATCATTTGTGTCTTCGATGTCCAGGATGCCCATCGTAGCCTCTCGGAGACTATCGATGACTTTTAGTTTACTTCGGTGTAGGGACATTTCCATCTCTGCGTATATTTCCAGACCTGGAATAACGACTGCAGTTTAATTAGTAAATTTGTTTTGTTGCCTCGTAAAGATAGCGAAAGGTGACCTTAAGGCGAGGGACTTATTTATTCGATAAGGTTTTTTCTTATCGGAAGATAGCAGCAGACAAGATATTAGGTGACGATGATGTATTTGCACTTTTAGCATAAATCACATCTGTATCAGTGGAACTCACATCGAGCTGCATTTTTGCTTCGATGGTCATCATCGGAGGTTTACGTTTGTTATCTACGCCGATAGGTACTTTGGTTTTTTACCTTTGCGTGGTTTAGTGTTAATCTGTAGGTCTTGAATGACAACTGCGGTTTTGTTAGCAAATTTTATGTTACTTAATCAGTGTTACCAGTATTTTTGTACATACCTGGTCGTGTAAAGTTTGAAATTACATTGTTTCCAAATGTAATCCTGTGTTATCGCTCGATAAGGATGGGCATTTTTATTTGTTGGCTCGTCTCTTATCTGGAGACTCGACTGTGTGACAAGACAGAAGGTAAACGATAATGCAAACATTTCTAAGGTAATATTTGCAGTATTTGCATAATCACCTTAGTCTGGTTGGCTTGATAATGTATCCATTTGTACATGTCTGTGTTGATATATCTGATTCATGACGTAGGGTATGCGAAGCTTGGAAATTAAGTAATTCCATCGCTATTCATGTAAAGACAGCAAAAATTTCCCCCTCACTCGCATGTCTCTTAAGAACTACCTGTAGGCTTAGTTTACACCGATAACTTGGTATACGTATTAAAGCATAGTTTAATAAAACCGTAGGTGTAAACAGTGGTGTACCAAGGCAGTACGATGCGCATTTTTCGAGCGTATTATCCTGAGACTGTACAAAATCGTTTACACTGACGGTTTGATAAATCCACGCTTTTAGTACGTGTAGAAAGCGATCGGTGTAAACAGTCTTAATGAGCACTCATCACTTGGAATGCGTACTGAGACGTCATTTTATAAAACTCGGTGTAAACAATGATCTATCAAGACTGTTTACACTGACGGTTTGATAAATCCACGCTTTTAGTACGAGTACCAAGTGACCGGTTTAAATTAAGCCTTAATGACGATCAGTAAATCCGAATTTAAGTGTCGATCGAGACGCTCAAGGTCAAATGCGCGTATTTATCAACGCGATTTATTAAATCCGGTCCCGATGAACCCCAGATTTAGAAGCACCGTGGATACGCAGTCACTGCATCTTACAATTAGATAGGGTTAGCCTGCGCGCGCATGCGAGATTGCGAGCTTACGCGATCGACCGAGAGCGACGGCACGTCAGTCACGCACCGGCCGCGGACCGAGGCGGACGTGTCTTGGTCATGGCGTACCTAGTGGGCTCTTTGCGCGCCCTAACCTCTCTCCCGGGGAGTAACCTGCGTGCGCTGAGCAACGCAGCTTGCGAGTTGACCCGCGACCTCGCCTACGTGAACGGCGAGTGGGTAGGTGCGTCGTCGGGTGCGACCTTCCCCGTGTCTAATCCCTTCGACCTTTCAACCGTCGGTCATGCGCCCGACATGTCGCCGAGCGACGCGGAAACCGCCATAGACGCCGCCGCGTGTGCCTTCGAGCGCCACCGCGGCGCGACTGCGCGGGAACGCGCCGAGTGGCTGCGCGCTTGGCACGCGCAGCTGCGCGCGCAGGCCACGCCCCTCGCCGAGATTCTGGGCGCGGAGGGGGGAAAGTCAGTAGCGGAGGCGCAGGCCGAGGTGGCGTATGGGAACTCGTTCGTCGAGTGGTTCGCCGAGGAGGCGCGACGATCGAATGCCGGCGAGGTGTGTTTAGACATTTTGAATGTCCCTAGAATTTAAGGTGATATGAAAGGTATATGAGAGGTGAAATCGTTAGTTAAAGTATTCTCCGAATTGGGTGTACCGATTCGTTTCAAATTAATAACGTTGACTGTAAAAGACTTCAAAATAAATATAAATGTCTGTAGCGGGACGCGCTAGTATATGTTACCGATTTAGTATTTAAAATGGCGTTACTGCCAAAAAAGGGTATACATGAATTCTATATTATATTAAATTTCTCAGCGCCTTTCATATCATCTTAAGGTGATGTGAAAGCGGTACGAGAAGGTCTCGTTTACGAAACTTTTCTCCGAACTTAATGTACCGAATCGTTTCAAACTTGACAATACGAATGTGGAGGCTATAATAAAGGTCCTGAAACTCTTGAAATGACAATTTTAAGACAATTTGTCTATATTCAATATCAAACTCATGAAACTACAATTTTAAGATAATTTGTCTATATTCAATATCAAACTCATGAAACTACAATTTTAAGATAATTTGTCTATATTCAATATCACTCATGAAACTACAATTTTAAGATAATTTGTCTATATTCAATATCAAACTCATGAAATTACCCTTTTAAGATACTTTGTCTATTTTCAATAATTTTAATAACAATTGAAATGTCGGGAGTTTCGGGACCTACCTTAGGGTCCCTTTATCCACGTGGTAAAATTTGAAAGAAATCGGTACACTCGATTCGGAGAAAAATTTCAATTTCAATTAAACGATTGACCCCTAAGATTTCTTTCACATCGCCTTAAAAGCACCGAGAGATGCGGTAGCGGCTCAGACAAGATGGCTTTTTTTTTTTTTACACCAAAGGTGTCTTTTTTGGGATTAATTATAACGCAGGAATAACTCTAGGTCGTACCGGCGCCTACGCGGGGCCGCCAACTACTGACGGTGCGCCAGCCCGTCGGGGTGGCGGCGCTCATCACCCCTTGGAACTTTCCACACGCCATGGTTGCGCGGAAGGCCGCGGCGGCGCTCGCGGCGGGGTGCAGCTGCGTAGTTAAGCCCTCGGCCGACGCGCCGCTGACGGCGCTGGCGATGGCAGTGCTCGCCGAGCGCGCCGGACTGCCGGCCGGCCTGCTGAACGTCGTGACGGCGGGCCCCGAGGGCTCCGTCGCTATAGGCGAGACCCTGTGCGCCAGTCCGCGCGTGCGCGCGCTCTCCTTTACCGGCTCCACCGCCGTCGGCAAGATTCTTTACCGACAGTGCGCCTCCACCGTTAAGAAAATCGCTCTGGAACTTGGTGGAGACGCGCCTTTCGTTGTTTTCGAATCGGCCGACCCTCAGGTATGGGTTAATCGCGAATGTATTGATTAACACTAGGTTTACGGGCGTTTTTTATATACCTGTTTCTACGAGCACCCGTTCAATTGACGGGTAAACGAAAACACGCATTTTCTTTAAAAAATCGATTTATTCAAATTAAGTCTGAATTAGACAACACTAGGCTTTACGTTTAAATAAATGATTAATAAGTAAAAAGTGCTTTTTTAAAAATTATCACGGAAATGATTGGAATGCTCGTCCTCTCATCCTTGGAGTCAGAACTAGAAAGAATACGCATCCTTTTCTTGCTACGGCACATTTTTTTAAGAAGTTTTCCTCTTCGCTATCCGAAGATCCTTATATCTCTCCACTTTCGATGCAAACTTTCACTCTCATCTTCGCCTTACACTCACTGCAACGAAGCAAATATATATGGATTGTTTATGAAATTAGCTAGTCCGTCAATTTGACGGGTTTCGTAGAGATAGGTATACTACATACAGATTTTAATAATCACAAGGCTTAGGAAAAAATAATTGTGTGTACAAATTCTTTGGATGAATTGATTAATTTACGATACTAAAATGGTTAAAATTAATGCTATGGTTTTTTTGGTAGTTCTTTTCGAAGTTTGAATTCCGTCAAATTGACGGGTCCCGTAAACCTAGTGTTAAGAAGGGCTTTGTAACTACAGACTTTAAGGTGATACAAAAGTGTGATGTATACAGGGTTTGTCCGAAAAGGAATGTCAGGGAGTTGATTTAAAAAAAATGTATAGATTGGAGCGGCACAACGCATTAAAAGGTTTGAAAATAGGCTCCTTCTGCGTCCTTAGAGCTTTCATAATCACGTGTTAATGTTTAAGATTATTCCCTCGACGTAGTTTGAAAAAAAGTGTTGTTAATATTTTCACGTTTCGTGATGTATATAGAAGGGCCCTTTCGTTTCACCTTATGGCTATACTTACGTCGGTTCATCCTTGTATCTGGTATTTATTAATATTTGTTTTTGTCATAAGGCTGCCGTCAATGGTGCCCTTGTAAGCAAATTCCGCAACAATGGACAGACCTGCGTCGCTGCAAACCGTTTCTACGTCCAGGAGAAGCTCTACGGGAACTTTGTTGAGGAGCTGGTGCAACGTTCGAAGTCTGAAATCACGCCGGGGCCCCTCATCAAGGAAAGTCAGCTGATCGGTGTTGAGGGACTCGTTAACGATGCTGTAAAAAAGGGCGCGAAATTACACTGCGGAGGATCTAGGCTTCCTGAGGTGGGTCCTCTCGTTTATGCACCTACCATCCTGACCGATGTCGACCCTTCTATGGAAATATACACCAAAGAGATTTTTGGACCCGTTGCTGTGATTCATCGGTTCCAAAATGAAGAAGAGGCTCTCCAACTTGCAAACTCGACTACTCTTGGCTTGGCTGGGTATTTTTATTCCCGCGATCTCGCTCAGGTTAGGATGAATCGATACCTCAGAAGTATCAATATCTTTCCTCGTTAGTATAAAGGGAAGTGCAGCGATGCTTGTTTATGATTTTTAGTTACTTTATTTGCTATCGCATCGAAAGATTGGTCGATGCTTTTATCTATCACTGCATGACCACAATCTACTGATACCTTTATTTGGTTCTCGATCGAAGAAAAATATTCATACTTTTACTTACTTTATTTCTGCATCGATAAATTAATCCTCTTTTACTTATTACTGAATGGACATAATGTATCGATGCCATTACTTATTTCTGGATCGAAGCCAAGTATCGATACATTGTATCGAATCAAAATATATAGAACCGTAGCCTACGTATAGATGTTACATTTTCCATGCAGCATAAAACAATTGAAAATCGTGTCTGTTACAAAGAAACATTTAAACTCATGCATTTGTTATTAAAAATTAGGCAACTTGTGCTTTTTATATTTGTGAAAGTACCTCGGTTCTCCTTTGATACATATTATATGTAAGTATTTACTTGTAACGACTTATTTTCTTGGGTAGGTCTTCCGGGTGGCACGTCGTCTCGAAGTTGGCATGGTGGGTGTCAACGAAGGACTCATCTCCTGCGCAGAAGCTGCCTTCGGTGGTGTTAAAGAGTCAGGAATTGGTAGAGAAGGATCCACACATGGCCTCGAGGACTATCAGGACATCAAGTATATATGCATCGGTGGCCTCACCGAGTAGATCGAGGGGCTATTCACTGGGAAATCTGTGAAAATGATTTTCTTCCTTAAGAACCGATTGCCTTTTATTTCGTACGATAAATAATAATGCGATTGGGTAACAAAAGGCCTTAAAATTGTAACAATAAATTCCAATGATTTTTTTTCTTGCAATTTTCAGCTGATTTTCATGTGATTTAGAGTATTAAAATCTACGATTTCCTGAATGAATAACCCCTCGGAGTAGATCGCATCCGGTACTGGAGCTTTCGGCCTTTATCCACGTCTTCCTCGCGTCTTTAACGGTACGCGCTATAAATATAAGAGTATTGTAACGTGTTGATATCAAAGAGTAAAAGCATATTGTTTATCTGCATGGAGTTGATCTTTTCGGTTACCTGTGGGAATCCCAGAATTCACAAAGTACTTGCTGGAAAAAGAAACAGGTAAACCCCGAGAAGAAAGAAAAGTTCCATCGAACCACATAAATATTTCTTCGAATGATACCGAAGAAATATTTTTTTAATTCAAAGAATTATTTCTATAAAATAAACTCGAATAAATTGAATGCTACGTTTATCTGGAATTACGATGAGTTATTTCCGTTCATTCGAGTGAAATAATCATTCTTTGAATTTTAATCATTCACCTGGTGCATTATTTATTTATTTAGTTCTCTAATTATTTCCTAGAGGCGGCTTCGTCCCGGATTGGACATCTCACTTAAGGATTGTGCTTCTGCTAAGTGGAAGCTTTACGAACAAATTACCTCAACTGGCTTAACCAGGGTTAATACCTTCCGTAGTTTAGAGATCGACATATATGTATCTAGTACATTGAGTTACGCACCAATTTCATGCGAGGGTTAATAATAGTCCCTCACAGTATACATTGTTATGTCAACGAGTCATGACACAGTTTATAAAGCTACAGGAATTTTTAACTTTTCAAATGTTGCAATTCTTTTGTTACATATTTTAATACTTTTATTTTTTTCATCTATTTAGTTACCACAGTTCCTGTAAGTAATCCTACTTTCGATAGTTACAAAATGTTCGATAAATACTGTTTACATTATGAATTAAAAATATTAAGAAATACAGAATCTCGATAAATATCGACGTTTCAATATATCGATAATTACCGACAAGGGGAAGTCATCACCGGTATTTAAATTTAAATATTTTGATATTAGAAAATATATACATAAACATATACATACATATATAGATAAACATAGAACTGTTTGCAGTTCTACGTTTTGTCTACGATCGAATTTCCGAGACGCGTCGCGGTTGCTACGGCAACTCGCGGTAACAACATGGCGGATGCTCTCGGGACTCCGTCCACGTGAGCGACGCGTCACGGTTGCCATGACGACTAGCGGCAACAACATGGCGGACCTTCTCGACGTTATACGTTGTGTACTGCGTCACGGTTGCCATAGCAACTCGCGACACAACATCACAGAAGTTGTAAAGTGAACCAATAGTGTTTTTAAGGTGTTATTAGATGGAATGCTCGATCCGATGGCAACCAGCAACGGTCGCGTTCGGCAAACGTCGGTCGTGCTTCGTCCAACCGACGTTCGACCAAGAAAAGGTAATTTCCTTCTAATAACCTTGAAAAGTTTGGTAGTTATTCTTTTCCCTTGGCGCTAGAAAAGCTGCCGCCATATTGCGTTGTGCAATCTGTGGATTTCTAAATATTTATTTACGGAATGGCGTTATAACCTAACATATACTGAAAATCGCACATCTGCAGCACCTTCTAGGTTGGAAACGTAATTTATTGTTTTTTTTTTTATGATTCCCTACGGAAAATTACGTGGTTTATGTGATATACGCAAAAAATCGAGATAAAATGAGTACTCAATCCTTTCTACTAGAGACAGTTTTTCGATTTTCGCCATTAATTCGGTTTTTATGGGAACCCCCGGGTGCGCAGACATTCCGCCGTTGGAAGGCCGCAATTGGCTCGTGCACCGGCACTGGACTAGATGCGAATACGACGCGTGTCAAACTCTCATCGAAGAGGAGCTAATTGTTTCCAAAGGACGCAACGAACACGCTCATTACATGAAGGTATGTAGAGTCTGTGTGGTAGTACACCAAATAGAACACATATATAGTTTATAGACAGTTTACACATATACAGTATGCATATATATAGTTTATATACAGTATACATATGTATAGTTTATAGGCAGAATTTATCGGTTTCTCTGGACGGGGATTCCCAATGATTCCTAATGACTACATTTACACCGCATTAATTCGGTTTTATAACTACCAGTGTTATGGTATTATGGCATGACCGGTATTAACCATCGTGTAAACACTGTTTTACGGCTGTTATCGATAAATTATAGTAAAATGACATTTATACAACACTTAAGGTTATGTGAAAGTGGCGCCAAAGAGGTCTCGTTTATGACTTTTCTTCAAACTGGCTCAACGAAATCCATTCAAACTTTTCAATATAAATATGAAGGGCACAAGGAAGGTCCTGACACCCATGAAATTTCAAATTTTTAAAAATTTGTTTATAAGTATTTAAAAAAAAAAATGAAACTTTATGGGCGTCAGGATCTTCCTTACAGCCTCTATATTCACGGTGTGAAGTTACAAATAATTAATAACAAACAATCCCCTTAAAACCGGTAGTTATTAAACCGATGTAAGGCAGGAGGTGTAAACGTATTAAACGATTATTTTAAGATGAGCTCACCTTTATATGAATTTTTTTCAGGGCCTTGTGCTTCGCAGGACGGGAAGATTACGGGAATCACTCGAGTGTTTCCAGAATTGCTACGACCTTAACGCCGCCAGTATAAACAACGTTAAGCAGATAGCTAAAACATTGTATGCTAAGATTTTTATATTTATGGTTTAAAAGTGGACATGGATGTCGTTTTTGTGGATATGGACTACATCTCCATTGTACCCTTAAATCTGGGATTTACTGGGTCCGGATTTAGTAAGATCTGGTTCCACCATCCGAGTTAATCGGAGTTTAATTAGTTAACAGCAGGTTTAAACTTGGTGTACACTAGTTAAACTTCGGTTAACTCGAGTTGTGGAACCCGGCTTAGGGGGTCTATTACGTAAAGCAAATTGAGTGAAAATGTGAAAAATGAGGAGCTCACGGTATTACGGCACGCTTTTGGTGGTGAAAATGCGAGACCATTCACATAGCGAATACGTAATTCGGCGAATAAACCCACGTGAGATGAAAGTGCGAGAAGTGAGCGCTCTCGTCAAAAATACGTAATAAACGCCTAGATCGCATGTCTCCATAATCTCCACCATAGTAACTGTTTCCACCGCCAGTATTTATTAAATAAATGTATTATACTTAACCCACCCTGCTCATGACTTCCCACGATATAAAATGCGCCTAAAAAAAGTTCCTTTAACAACAGGTTATGTCACGTGTCGCAGGTACTTGCTGGGAAGTTACAAGAGCGCCATGGAGGTGTTCCTGGAGGCGAGGAAGCTGGACTCATCCGATTGGGAAATCGAGCGCGGTCTTGGTAAGAAGATTATTTTTTCTAACAAGGTGGAGGAAGTTCCATTGTCTCGGTCGAATTATTCCCTCTACAGGGGAGTGTTGCATGAAGCTGAGCCTGCCAAAAGAGGCGGATGGTTACCTGAGGAAGGCCGCAGCCTCCACCAGGAACGAAAGACCCGTTCTCGCCCTGGCGAGGCTCCGCGTCGCGTGCGGAGAATTTCCGGAGGCTGCGAGTCTCCTTGCGGCCGTCTTACGGTAAGCTTAACCCCTTAACGCACAGATTTTGTTGAAAAAAAAATCAATTTTTTTCATGTAAAAAAAAACCCTAGAACATTGTCTTGGGAAAAAAATAAAATTCTCGATTATATTCGAGGGTGAAAAATTATAGTAGCATAAAATACAACGCCGCTGGAATTATCTCGAGTGTGCACTGAAACACGTCGAGGAACTTGATCGACGTCGATAAAGAAGATTTTTCTAAATGCCTACGTCGCCGACGTTGGTTTTTATATCGACAGCTGGGTCGAATTATATTGTGTATTGTACCAAATGGCATACTCCACCTGTCGTTTTCGTAAAATAATTATAAAGAAATCGAAGTATAACTCCAGAAATCCTCTGGATTCGTGCTTTCTGGGGGCCTAATTGACTGCAGAGGGACCCCCTGCGCCATCTGTGATTTCCAGGTCAATTAAATTTTCACTCCGAGACCTCGTATTACCATCGTTTTGGCATAAAAGCGCATACAACACTTTTTTTGCCTTTATCCCGTTCAAATGCGAGTTTCTCGATTATCAGAGTGCTCTAAATTGTCGTAAAATTGTCCCGACCCTTTCGATTCTCATATCAGAGCTTTCGATAATTGTATATCGATCGAAATATGAGAGCTCGACGCCATTTTGGTTCTGGTCTGGGCTAAGTTAAACAATTTTTTTCAAAAACCCAAGTTTTGAATGTGTCAGGACAATTCTTAGATGATCAGGAGTGACGTGTCAAAGTTTCGGACAGTTTGGTCTAATACCCTTAAAAAAAAGTGTTGTATTCGAATCGACTGATTTGAAGGGGGTTTCACTTCACCTTAAGGGGTTAATCATTCCCTTTCGCACAGGATCGCCCCAGAATGCCACGAAGTCGACCTAGAATTGGGCCAGCTGTACCTGCGAGTGAACGACACAAGGCAGGCGCAAGAACAGTTGACGAAAATTCCGCCCCGTGGCGCTGATCCGCGACTTCCCGCGGGATTCCTGGCGCAGGTATGGTTAGTTACGATTTTTCCCACGGGAATCCCGGACTCATCGCGTTGGACGGTTCCCAGGAACGCCGAGAGTACAATGCTGCATTGTCCGAGTACAAGGCGGCGACGCTTCGCACACCAGACTCTTTCTGTCTATGGAACAACATCGGCACGTGCTTCTTTGAGAAGGAGAAGTTCATTGCGGTAAATATTATCGGTGTAAACTCGTTTCAAACAGGAAAGACCCACTTCGTCGTCGAAACCGTGTCAATATACGCGTCTATGCCACGGGTTTAATGTGTTTCCACCTTCGTAAACGCGTATAACCCTAATGGAAGCATAACGTCGTAGGGCCTGACTCCACAACTCGAGTTAACCAGAGTTTAACTTGTTTACAGTACAGGAAAGATCCACTTCGTCGTCGAAATCGTGTAACTATACGCGTCTATGCCACGGGTTTAATGTGTTTTCACCCTCGTAAACGCGCATAACCCAACTGGAAGCGTAACGTCGCAGGGCCTGACTCCACAAGTCGAGTTAACCAGAGTTTAACTTGTTTACAGTAGGTTTAAACAGGGCGAAAACCTGGTTAGTTTCTCTGTAGTTGTTAGTTCTAGTTAACCGAAGTTCAACTGGTTTCCACCAGGTTTATATCCATTGTAAACCGACTAAGCTCGAGTTAACCCAAGTTTAACGACCTATTGTAAACAATATAAACTCCGGTTAACTCGAGCTTAGTTCATTTACAATGGATTTAAACTTGGTGCAAGCCAGATGAACTTTGGTCTACAACAGGTTTAAGCTTGATGGAAACGAGGTGGTCGATTCTGTGACTTTGGCGAGAGTGCGCACTTCTCGCACTCTCATCTCACGTGAATTTATTCGCCCGGTTCTCCGAGTGAAAATGTGAAATCTCTAGATTGAAAGAACTTGGCTCGAGATCTCGGAGTTTCTCGTCGAGTTGTCACGCGAAGTATCTCACATTTTCACCATAGTGAATGTTACGGAATCGCGGGAGATTTTCACTAGATTCGAATCAGAGAATCGATCCCCAGTTAACCGAAGGTTAACGAATCGTGGAACCGGGGTTTAGAGATTTTATTCATTTTAGGCAATCGGCTGTTTAAAGCGAGCGCATTACCTAGACCCCACGGCGGTGCTGCCAACATTTAATCTGGGCATGGTTCACCTGTCTATCCAGCTTCCCATGTCTGCGGCCGTTTACCTGTGCGCCGCCGCCACCATAGCTCCAAAATACCCTAGGTGTTTTCTACTCCTCGCAAGTAAGCATTATTAATACACGTATACACATACACATTGGAAATATATACATACATGCATGATCGAAGGTCGATTCTGTAACTTGAATCTAGTGAAACTTCTAAAAGTGAACATCTCCCCTGATTCCGTAACTTTCACTACGGTGAAAAGTGAGATACTTCGCGTGAGACTACTCGACCGGAAACACCGAGATCTTGAATCTAGTTCCTTCACTTTAGAGATTTCACATTTTCACTTGGAGAATCGGGCGGATAAGTTCACGTGAGATGAAAGTGCGAGAAGTGAGCACTCTCGCCAGAGTTACAGAATCGACCGCTTGCATTTTTTTAGGTGGTAGACCATGGACGTAAGAATATAGATTGATTTGTGTATTAATTTTTTTACTCGACGTGTTTCAGTTGCCCTGGGTCAGTTAGGTGACGAAGATGGGGCACTCAAATCGTTAACTGAAGCCCATTTGTTGGATCCGCGAGACCACTTTGTTATCATCAACATGGCCGCCCTCCTTTTTCGTAAAAACGAGGTGGAACGCGCTGAAACTCTTCTGGCCTCTCTCGAGCCTGATCGAGCTGCTCGGCTCTTGCCCACCAAGGTAAGGACTCTGATTTAGTTTATATCGATCACTTGGTATACGTATTAAAGCCGTGCTTTCGTTAAACCGTCGGTGTAAACACGGGTATACAAAGGTGGTAAGATACGCACACTTCGAACATACTATCCCAAGACGATTTATGACCGTTTACTCTGAAAATATGATAAAACCATATTTTTAGTAAATCTGCTAAGAGATCGATGTAAACTAAGCCTAACAAGTCACATTAGTTTCCTTTCTTATTGAACGCAGTTTGGGGCAAGACTCGTTTTCAAAATCCTAGGGACATTTATGCTTCCATTTGGATAATTTACGTAAGGTTGGCAATGAGCTAAATCTATGGTGTAAACAAATACACTTCTGCGATTTTTATGGCTAAATCTGTTATGAACTGTGTTCAGTAAAACGAGGATTACAATTGATGCGTGCAAACGAGTTTAAGGCGAAACGTGTAACGCTCATCTTTGGTGAGAGTACTCCCTTCTCTTACTTTCATTTCACGTGTGTTTACTCATCCGATTATGTATCCTATTACAGGTTGAGAAGGTCGCCGCGGGACTCAGAGCAAGATTTAAAACTTCAGGAGTAAACCCCGATCTCGTTGAGCAAGAAAAGTAAAGAAGATTAAAAGTTGTCATCTACGCTATGTATTCTCCGTGTAAATATATTAAGACCCGATTCCATAACTCGAGTTAACCGAAGTTGTGAAACCGGGCTTAAGTGTCGATCGAAACGCCCAGACAGTCGATTCTGTAACTTGAATCTAATGAAAATGCTGAAAGCGAGCACCTGCGATTCTATACCTTTCACTATGATGAAAATGTGGGATACTTCGCGTGAGACTAGTCGACGGGATTTCAGACCGACTACTTTCAGTCTAGAGATCTCACATTTTCACTCAGTAGATATAGAATCAGGTAAATAAATTCTCGCGAATTAAGAGTGCGAGAATGAGCACTCTCACCAAAAATACATAATCGACTCTGCGTATTATTAATGCGATTTACTGGATCCAGACTCGGTAAATCTCGGATTTAGGAGTGCGTTGGAGACGTGGTCATTGTCCTGCCGGTTAATTCGCAAACAAGAATACTTTATGATTTTGAGAGTTAACACCGTAAGTTATTTTCAGTCAAACTGCAGAAAAAATTTGTCTTATCTAATATTAACATGCTATTATGTATGTACTACAAAATATAAAATAAATAAAACCCAATGAAGAATTAACAGCAAAATAATTAAGAACGGAAGAAGATACAAGTACATATACGTACACGTATGAAAAATTCCGGTCTTCACACAAATCATATTAAGAAACTCGGCACAGTTTCGCGCAAGTATATCGTATGCATTGATCGACCGCCGCCATTTTGAATGTCCCGCCTTTCGTTAATTAAATTAAGCAACGCACCGTAAAACACAAGAAAATGAAAATTATATAGAAAATACGTTTAGAACATTCAATTTTTATTTTGTTAATCATGACACGCGACTTGAATTTCCACAAAATTTAAATACTTCTATATTCAGGATTTATTTCAATAATACCTCGAGATAAATAATTTATCAAACACGCAACTTTCGAAATGGACAAAATCATTACCGTAATGTTAAAAAAATGACAAGAAAACTCCTATAATACAAACAGCCGATAAGTTGAAAAACATCGAAGTCGCACAAAAAAGAAAAAGAAAATCGAAGCATACATAAAAAAAAAATGAAAACCGAAGCATACATTAAAAAAAAAAAAATGGAAACCGAAGCACGCACAATTTTTTAAGGACTCGCAGATTCCAAGAGACACATTGATCCTTTATTATAACGGAACGTGTTTTTTTTCTCTCGTTATCTCTCGCACGAGTCACAAATACGGGATATGACAAGAAAAAAAAATTAGTCCTTATCTATGTCAGTCTAGACGCTAATCATTATGTCTACGTAAAATTAGAATGCTGTCATACGTAAATTCTCGAGGACGAGGGGAACACCATAAACCTCAAAGAGAAGGGGACGAAAAACAAAAAGGAACGGAAAAATGAATTGCTCCTACGTCACTAACAGGGAAATGAAAGGAAGAAAAATAAAAACAAAGGGGGAGAATGTGCCAGAGAGGGAGAGGGAACGAATCTATCATCTCGGTATAACTCCTAGCTGAACAGGACAGTGATAAGAGATAATACGTGGATTTAATAATAGCATATTCGCGTCGCCGTCGACGAGGTACGCCAACTAAAGTTAAAAGGAAAGCCGTTATTAATATTCTGCGTGAAATACGAGTGCTTAGACAAGAACTAATTGGCCTTGGGCAATTACAATTATTCCGAGCAATGAGTGTGCGAAAGGACTCGGAGGCCAAATGGGCTTTCTTCTTCGTGGAATGTAACGGTCTCTTTAGCTGATCATGAACTGAATTTCTTATCGCAATGAGACACACTGCGAACAAATACTTTGAGTAACAAGTGCCCAAAGACCCTTTCGGAGTGACATTTGCATTAATTGTTTTCGAACAAAGTTTCGATGAAATCAATGTCTGCTAATATTTCTTAGCGAAGGATTATTAGCTTCGATATAACCCACTCGGAGTAAGACTCTCTCTTGTATCGAAGTCCTGTTCACTGACATAAGATCGAAGGGCACACCTAATTACTGGGTTCTTCGAAGCAAGGATCGTTGCAACTTTTGTTCGGAGCAGAAGACAATTTACTAGTATATTAAAAAGTGTATCGATCCTTTCAAGTGACCCCAAGTGCAGTTCCGTAGCCTCTGAGACTTCCTAGGCCTGCAGTTCTTGTGTGAACACATCGTACGATCAGTTACCAAGTGACCGACCCAAGTGCAAAGCATCGACATAACGAAAAGTGATTCTTTGTACGTTGTGATTTCATACGACAGACCGAAGGGGGCTACACCGACAACCATAACCTCGGGTTAATCGAAAAGATGCGGTTAATAATTTCCACTGCATTGGATAAATTGATTTCTGCACTTCGAACAAAGATCTCCCTCAAATTCTTTCACAATTACACCAACACTAGTTCCCACTTGAAGTACCAATGGCCTGAATTTCAACTATTTCTTCGCAGTAACGATACACAAGAACAACATGTCACTTCAAAGAGTTCTTCGAAGCATTCACTTGCACACCGAAAACTAATGCATCCTTTCGATTAACTCCAAGTCCACCCCATCTTCGCTTCCCCACAGAACTCGAAGCCTAAAGTTCTTGTGTGAATACACCGTAGACCGAACCAACCCGAGTGACGGGTTGTATCGATCTGCTACTTTGCTATCTTTCTTACGTAATGATTATTCAGACCGAAGGAGTTACGCGTACAAAGGACAGCGATGACGATAAGTAACGATTTATCATGGGGGCGGGGGAGGGAGTAAGAAACGGTGATATTACAAACTAACGTTAAAGACATTATTTTAAGGAGAGAACTAAGAAGAAGGCGCTTAAGCGCGCTCGCCGCGGATTCGCCGTGCGAGCTGGATGTCCTTCGGCATGATCGTCACGCGTTTCGCGTGGATGGCGCAGAGGTTGGTGTCCTCGAAGAGGCCCACGAGGTAGGCTTCGGAGGCTTCCTGGAGTGCTCCGATGGCTGCGCTCTGAAATCTCAGATCTGTCTTGAAGTCCTGGGCGATTTCACGAACCAGGCGTTGGAACGGCAGCTTTCGGATCAGCAACTCCGTAGACTTCTGGTATCTTCGGATCTCCCTAAGGGCCACGGTACCAGGCCTGCGAACCAAAGCGAAGGATAAAGCTAACCTATAATTTATTTCAAACGTCATGACAAGGGTATCGTATCATTTTTAGGGACTAATAAAAACAAATCCGAAGATTCAGCAATGTGATATCTAGTCGTAAAGTACAAAAGGAGAAAAATGGAATAATAGAATTCCTATTCATGTAGATTCCTTCCCCAGAGACCAAACATACAAGAAAGAAATTAAGACTACTAATTACTGTAAACTACAGAAGTATCATTTAATCTCGCGTATAAGGGTGTATGAAAATGAATTATAGTTCCAATGATTATGAGGGTTCAGAGCCGTCGTTCAAAGTGCAATAAGGTACAATTGAATTGTCGACTGACAGAGAAAAAGTTTTTAAACACTTTGCATCTTGAATTTGCAACACGAGAAATACTATCACTTGTTATATTCCTTTGTAACTGGCCATGCCACGATAAAGCGGTTAATCTTGTCTCTCTAATGATAACGTAACCACACGGCCCATTGTTTCGAGTATAATCAAATGCGACCAATGACCTGTAACGGTGAGGCTTCTTCACTCCACCAGTGGACGGTGCGCTTTTACGCGCAGCCTTGGTGGCCAGCTGCTTACGCGGAGCCTTTCCTCCGGTGGACTTTCGGGCCGTCTGCTTAGTACGAGCCATGTCGAAGACTGAAAGAAATTAAATATGTCCGTCAAATACTTCATCGACTTGTCATACAATATAATAAATACATATCTTTAAAAATATGCATCAGTTAAATAAAGAAAAAAGGTTCGTCATTTAAGACCTGTTAACATGAACCAATCATTTAAAGTTGCCTATATTTATGAACGTCAATTATCGTTCTTCCTACTTCAAAAAATTATTATTAACTTCATATTCAAATATAATATATACATTAGTATTCCTATCTTATTTATATCTCTTTCAAGTTATAATTCATTACTGTAGCGAACTTGACTAATCTGATTAATTAAAAGTTATTTACTAGCTTTTAAATTATTGTTGCCATCATCGGAGTCACACAATTTATTTAACCAATAACACTGAATATCATAAATTATCAACTGGTATATTTTATTAACACTTAGCACTCCGCAACTTTCGGAACGTAACGACGAATGTCTCCGTAGCGGAGCCAATGGCACGCTAAACGTTAACAACTACAGTAATTATTTGTTGATGATCGTTGTTTCGTTGTAACATATTATATAAAAAATATATGAATACATTTTATTTAACGTTCACATTATGCAATAATATAATATAAACATAATTATTCAAAGTATGAATCAATAATGTATGAAATGTTCAGGTTAGAAAGATTTGAATCCATTATTGACGTTACCATTACATATTAAATAAAAAATACATTAATCCATTTTAATCAATTTACGTAACAATTTAATACAAAAGTAATCATTCAAAGTATGACCCAAAGCATAAAATTTTCAGGTTAGAAATATTTAAATCTATTGCTACATATCGCTACATATTAAATAAAAACTAAATTTATTAATTTTAACCAACGGTCACATTTCGCAGTAACATAATATAAAAATAATTCAAAGTATGACTCGCAGCATCAAATTCTCAGGTTAGAAATATTTAAATCCATTGCTAACATCATCGCTACATATTAAATAAAAACTAAATATATTAATTTTAACCAACGGTCACATTTCGCAGTAATATAAAATAAAAATCATTGAAAGTATGACTCACATCAAATTTTCAGGTTAGAAACGTTTGAAGCCAAGCTGACGTTATCACGACCGTTACTACAAAGTTCTCAGAATCCCGCCCCGATGTCATTGTTTATATCACAAATGGCTTCCATGTCACACAGGACAAAGGGCGACTCCAGCATCCCGACTTACACCCTACTGAGCTCTCAAGTGCATCCTTACACTCCCAAAACACGATCCCAGCCAACCCTCGACCTCCCTCGCATCGTAATCTCAGGAATATCTCGAATATAGCTCGGCAAGGAGCGAAATCCTCTGCGAATAATTCGGCCAGACTCGTCAATCCCTTTCACCGTTACTATTATGATCGTTAACGTCGCCATCTTGGAAGTCGCGGATCGCGCCTTCGCGTCCCGACCGCGGGAATTTCCCGGCGGAATTTCGACACAACGAGTTCCCGGCGAGGGCGAAAATGGGTCCTAACCTTAAACCTCGAACAGGTTCGTCGAATACGCGGAAGAGTTGCCCGCGAAACGCGCGTCGCCGGCTCCTGGGAGAGTTTTCGTCGGACGGAGCGGGAGTTTTCCCCGCGAACGCGAACGGCAAGATGGCGGCGCGTCAGCCGCGAGGCCGCGGAAACGCGAAAAGCGCCGATTTCCCGAGGAAGGAAAACTCCCGGGGACACTTATCACTCGGGAAAGTACACGGGGCTTGGAGGGCTCGATGCCGCGTGGAAAAGGGGAACGCACTCACCTGAGAGGGTTTCAAGTGGCGGGAAAAATGCGGAAGTAAGAAGCTACACCTCCTTCGGTCTCTCTTTGCACTTGAAATGCTGGAGCGGCAGTGGCTCGGCGTTCCGCGCGGTGACGCCGACGGACGCCGATCCCTCCAGGCGCGGCCGAGGAGGGCCGAGGATGGCCGAGGAGGCCCGAAGCGCGCCGGCCAATCAGCGCGCGCGGCGGGAGATCCGGGTCGATTCGAATCTCTCTCGCGACATTTTATTTGACAAAACGAGAATTTAAGAAAATTTCAGAATCCTTGAGGCTAATTTTTATCGACGAATGAAAGGTTACTACTTTGTTTATCCCAATAGTGCCAATCGTACTGTTATTCCAGTATTTGTTCTATTATTTTATGCATGTTTACAGAAATAATAGCACGCGAATTGTACTATTATTTCAGCAGGAATTGCAACTGGGGACGACTTTGTTATTATTTATGGATATTTTTGTTTATATTCGTCGTTTATTTGTACAGGTTTTAAAAAATTGAGAGAAATAATTGTTACTAAAATATAGTGATATTTGATCGTTCGTAAGGATCGATTAGAGGTTATCAAGCTACACGCAATCTGAAAAATATATAAAACATTGTTATTATGGTGGTAAAAATAATGAGTTGTTAATAAAAAATGACGATATTAGATTGTTCGTAAGTGTCGATGTGAACGATTAGAGGTTATCGAACTGCAGGCGCCGGAAAGCGAAAATCGGGGAGCTCCCAGGAGGGGAATGGCGCCCGATTAACAACATCCTGATTAACAAGACCGACAACATTATTCTCGCCGACCCTAACAGCAATCTACCACTCACTCTACTTATTCGACGAAAATATAACTCCCCACGTATTCTAACAATAAATTGTCAACGTGGAGTTCGAAGTACTCAGGGAAGCCTTATCGTTCAAATTATTTATAGAATTAGGCGAATGAAAGTGTCGCCAAAAATTTTACGTTCAGATTAAAAAACACAATTTCGTGTAACTAAAATGTTATGTTTAATCAAAATAATTAGGTGTGAAAGATGGGAAAGAAATACGAATATCAACTCGTTTGGAAATAATCTCCGTTGAAAACAAAATGGCGGATAACGCAAAGGCAGCTTCGACATATTTACGCAAAACGAAGAATAAAAGTGTCGTTAAGAATTTTACGTTCAGATTAAAAAACAATATCGTGTAACCAAAATGATATCCTTAACAAAAATAATTACGCGTGAATGAAGAGAAATAAGTATGAATATTTACTCTTTTAGAAATAATTCTTGCTGAAAACAAAAATGGCGGACAACGTAAAGCCAACTCCAACATATTTACGCAAAACGAAGAATAAAAGTGTCATTAAGAATTTTACGTTCAAATTAAGAAACAATATCGCGTAACCAAAATAATATCCTTAATAAAAATAATTAAACTTGAACGAAAAGAAAGAAATACGAATATTAACTCGTTTGGAAATAATCCCCGTTAAAACAAAAATGGCGGACAACGCAAAGCCAACTTCAACATATTTACGTAAAACGAAGAATAAAAGTGTCATTAAGAATTTTACGTTCAGATTAAAAAACAATATCGTGTAACCAAAATAATATCCTTAATAAAAATAATTAAACGAACGAAAAGAAAGAAATAGGAATATTAACTCGTTTGGAAATAATCCCCGTTAAAACAAAAATGGCGGACAACGCAAAGCCAACTTTAACATATTTACGCAAAACGAAGAATAAAAGTGTGATTAAGAATTTTACGTTCAGATTAAGAAACAATATCGCGTAACCAAAATAATATCGTTAACAAAATTAATTAGGCGTGAGAAATGGGAGTGAAATACGAATATTAACTCGTTTGGAAATAATCCTCGTTGAAAAGAAAATGGCGGATAACGTGAAGTTGTTTACGCCGAGGTGATTAACGAAATGCGTTATGTATTATGTCGAAAGGAACGGCAGAGTGCGCCCCTAAAGCATAATTCCTCGTAAAATGCAAGCTCCACTTTATTGTGCATGTAATTAACGACTTTTCCAGCAGTTTCGCATAATTACAGATTCCGCGGACACATTAGGTGCATTTAATTAAAGCGGAGACTTCGTAGAACCGAGAAACGTTCCCGGAGGGCATACGTGTAAACGTATATTAGCACATAGAATACATACATGTATATAAATGTGCAGATGACGTATAATGTACATATACCGTGAAATATGAATTCGCATATACATTTGAACGCTGATAACGTTTCTAGCCAAGAATTTATGTACAACATTGGTACAAATATCTGTATTTATATAAGTACGTGTATATACATATGTATTTTACATAATGTGGACGTATATCGTGCGTAGTATATTCTACACTGTTAAATATATTCGTACCATTCGTACATATTATTAGATAAGTTTGTATTAAAATGATAAATTTCATATCTTAAAGGTAAATTAATATACATTTATTATAAATTTCTAGATAAAATGATGATTTCGTAAATGAGTTTGAAAAGCTTCATTAGGATTTTCATAATCAACCTTAAAATATGATACATATAATATACAATTGTTATGGTGTATATATATAAAAGTCAAAATAATTATTAATGTTTCCCTAAACTGGGTGCTACAAATAATTTGAAACTTTTACATATGATCATGCAGGTCTTAATAAAGGTTTTGGAACTCACGAGATTTCATTTTTCGAAATAAAAAATTGTTTATTTATTCCGGACAAAAAGTAAAAAAATGTTTGCTCGAAAAATGAAATTTCGCGAGTTTCAAGACCTTTATTAAGACCTCCATAATCATGTGTTAAAAATGTTTCATTAATATTTTGACTTATGAATATATATATGACACTTTCAAAAAACCTTAATTGACTAATATGATCGTCTGAAAAATATAACAATAATATATAGACCTTTCATTTATCAAGTTTCATATATTTTGGAATTTCTATGAGACTCAGAGCATTTATACGTATTATATACGTATTATGTACGTATAAAAATACTATAAAAAAAAATGTTTGTTCGAAAAATAAAATTTCCCAAGTTTCAAAACCTTCATTAAGACTTCCATAATTACGTGTTAAAAATGTTTCATAAATATTTTGACTTATGAATATATGTATGACACTTTCAAAAAACCTTAATTGACTAATATGATCATCTGGAAAATATAATAACAATGTATAGACCTTTCATTTATCAAGTTCCACATATATGAGACTCGGAACGTTAGTACATATTATATACGTTTATAAATACGTGACGCCTGTGCAAACACACTTATATGCAGTCTATTATATATGTACGTACTGTATATGGTACAAGGCATGGATAAGCACCAAGTGCGCATGAATTTACTCGAAATGCAGTAAATTATGGTAGAGCAAGTCGGGCACTTGCAATATATATCCTCGCAATAAAACCGACGTTAATTATTATGTAATGCCCTTCTATAACCAACTGCAAAGTTAGTAGAGGAAACTTTTGTTGCTCTTCTCCAAATGATTTTTTAAACAAGCTTTAATGCACCCTACGGGGCGAAATGCTGCGCAATGTTTCGTCTTCCTCCTTTTATTTTGCAATTTTTATGAAGCTTTATGTACACCCCGAAATTATTCGACATTCTGCATAGGTATAAAATTGTAGGAAATAAAAATTAAAAGAAACAAAATACGAAGACGCTCGTGAAATTTGATTTTTCATTAAAAAATGTGACCTTGGTTCCAGTTTAGGGTGAATAAAAAAAATGTCACGTTTAAAAATTGAAATTTCACGAGCATCGCGTTCTTCTTCAGGGCCTCCATAATCACGTGTTAAAATTTCAAACGATTCGGTGCACCCAGTTTGGAGGAAAGTTTAAAAAACATTTTTCTATATATATAGAAGGACCTTAAATCGGGGAATTCCCATGAAATTCCAAGAAGCCCGAAAATTATTCGCAAAACTCCGCGAGCGCATGAAACTCCCGGGGAGCTGACTTTACATGCAACTTTACGAGGGCAGAAACGACACGAAATTGAACGCAATCTCCGAAAGCTCACGGTCCCGCGAGCCTCGAAAGGTTGACGCGCGTTTCCTCCGCGGTCTCTATTTGCTGGTGAATCGGTCCTTGTCCCGCTCGTTGATTCCCGCTCGGCGGATCGACCGCACCTTCGGTTGGCCGGGTTGAAGGTGGAGGGGTGCGAGGGGTCGAGGGAAGCGAGGGTGGGGGAGAAAGAGCGGGGGAAGGGATCGAGGGGCGACGCCAAGGTAGGTGGAGGGGGCGAGCGGTTGAGGGAAGCCAGTATGCGGGCGAGGATGGGGGGAGAAAGGGCGGGAGGGGCCAAGCCAAGGTAGGTGGAGGGGGCGAGCGGTTGAGGGAAGCCAGTATGCGGGCGAGGATGGGGGGAGAAAGGGCGGGAGGGGCCAAGCCAAGGTAGGTGGAGGGGGCGAGGGGTTGAGGGAAGCGAGTATGCGGGCGAGGATGGGGGTGAAAGGGCGGGAGGGGCCAAGCCAAGGTAGGTGGAGGGGGCGAGCGGTTGAGGGAAGCCAGTATGCGGGCGAGGATGGGGGAGGAAGGGCGGGAAGAAGGGATCGAGGGGCTAAGCTAAGGTAGGTAGAGAGGGCGAGCGGTTGAGGGAAGCCAGTATGCGGGCGAGGATGGTGGAGAAAGGGCGGGAGGAAGGGATTGAGGGGCCAAGCCAAGGTAGGTGGAAGAGCGCGAGGAGTCGAGGGAAGCGAGGATGGTGGAGGAAGGGATTGAAGAGTGAAGCCAAGGTAGGGCGAGGATGGTGGAGGAAGGGATTGAAGAGTGAAGCCAAGGTAGGTGGAAGAGTGCGAGGGGTCGAGGGAAGCGAGCATGCCGTTGAGGATGGTAGAAGAAGAATGGGAGAGGAGGTGAGCAAGAAGAACGCAAGGGGTTGAGGGAAGCAGTGCTGCTAAGCGTATTATTATTATTCTAGTATTTGTACCATTATTTTAGTTCATTAAACCTTGCATTTTTTTGCAACAATAATGGAACCCGAATTGTACACTTATTTCAACAGAAAATTAAATGCCCACTGGCAAGATGTTTCGAGTATAATAAAGTGGCAGTGGCCATGAACTTGTCTGAGATGCGACTCC